TGTATGTATATATGTATATATATGTGTATGTATATATGTATATATATGTGTATGTATATATGTATATATATGTGTATGTATATATATGTATGTATGTATGTATATATATGTATATACACACATACATATATGTTCATGTTTCGTTTTCGGTTTTAATTTTTGTCTAAGAAATATATATATATATATATTTTTATAGATCAGGCATCTTAACCAAGAAGCAGAAACACAACTCTTAGAATGGAAATTACAGATAATTCAAAAATAAAAACAAGTATAAAACAAATTCTTAATTTGAAAAACTATGACAGGCCGTCATCTGCATCTTCTGGTCTTAACATAGATTTCAAATGACTGAATGCTTTGTAGTCTGAACTAGTTCACTGTTATGTACAAGAGCAAAAGCCAGGAGTCCCCAACCACTGGTCCGGGGACTGGTGCTGGTCCGTAGGTCATTTGGTACCGGGCCACAGTGGGAAAAATGTACTTCCGTTTTACTAATATACTTCATTTTAAAACGACTGATACTAACAGAATAAAGTGTAGAAAAATGACAGAAATGAAATTGAATACCACTGATTGAGTACCACTATAAATTCATTGTATGATGATGTCAGTTCTCGGGCATCGATATTGCTTGTCCTTGAATTACGTTCCGCAGTGTCTGTGCGTCTTTCTGCAGACCCTCATTGTCGGGACGAATGGTAAGAGCGGCTTCGAAGTCCTGCAGCGCCTCGATGTACAGCTGCAGTTCACAGTAGGCCACTCCTCTGTGAATGTGAGTTCTGGCCCTTGCTTCTGAATTGGCAGCTACAGGTGGAGTCAACAGGACGATGGCTTGAGAGGAATCGTCAACAGCATTTTGTAGATTCCCTAACTTTAGGTGGCATACAGCTCTGTTTGAGAAGAGCGCTGGGATCTTTCTGTTGAGCCTGATGGCCAAGCTGTAGGCATTTAACGCACTTAGGTAATCGCCCGTTTCAACAAATGCATCTCCTTTGTCCTTTAGCCATTCGTGGTTCCTATGTTCCTCCGGTAACTCCTTGAGGTCTTCAGCATCTGCGCTAATTATACGCCGGGCTTCGGCTTGTTTTCTCAGCCACTCTTCCTCCTCCTGCACTTTGGATTCCCTTAATGGCGTTTGGAAAACTCTTGTGGTAAACTTAACTTGAATGTTTCCCGTGCATCTCAGGGCGGGAAGTTGCGACGGTGTTTTCTTGCACCTGGCTACTGCGGCACTTTCTCTTTGTTGATGTTGGTCATTTCCATTTATTGTTGTCTTTGTTTGGGTCTTGGTATCATTTTGAGCGTTGCAAGTCGTTGCTGAGTCTTCTTGCTCTTCTGTTTGTTTTGAGCTCAGCCGCAAGGCTTCCAGCTCAGTTATGGTTTTCTCTTGCTCCGCCATCTTCAGATTCCGGATTCTGTCTTTTACCTTTTTCCCGCAACTTATCATCACTTCCACTAAATGCTTCTCCTCAGCTCGCCACTTCTCCGCCTTTGCTGCGGACTGACTATTTAGATTGTCGCATTGTTTCTGCAACGCGGACTCTCTGATCTGTTTCTTCATTTCTTTATCGCACGGCGTTATCATCAGGTGCTCCCACATTTTTGGGCTTCTCTTTGGCAAACTAATGACGGCAACTCCATTCCCAACCTTGGATGTGCTTTTGTCGTTGTCCACACTTTCAAAAAAGAATACTTCAAATAAAAACGGAGGGTAGTTCATCTTGAGGTATTCGTCTGTACAGACGATGTCAACCTTTCCAGCCCTGGCTCCTTTCAGAGGCACATAAATATGAACAGTCGTTTCTGTTTGCGTCCATGAGTAGTCTTTCACAAGCAGAGGCATGTCAGCGGTTCCAATATGTTCATTCCAATACTGGGATATTTGCAGCTGGAAAAACAACAGAAAAACCAAGAATAAGTTTAGGTCTTAAAGCTGCTAAATGCCACCGTCACTTCTGAAAGTTGCTGATTAATTAGAAATATAAGAATAATTATAGTCGCTGCACTTTTAATTCCAACTGTCGCCCTCCTTCCTTGGACCAATTTGATGTTTATCATTGATTTTCAGACGTCCCTTTTATACTAGTTAGCGTTCTGGTTGCCTTAAATGACTTTGATACAAACGATTCCTGAGGTGGAAATTCTACATTTTTATAACTGATGGTTGCTAAAGAGGGGTGGATGATATTGAGGAAGAGCCAAAAATGAACGAGATTTGGCCTTTAAGGCAACACTGGAAGAGTGGGGGCATTAGCAAGATGAAGCAGAAGACTGGTGACAAGAACTTGGAGTATATCAGTGAGTAAGAGAGAGTAACAGTAAAAGCTCAGGGATGGAGTTTCTTTAATCATTTTAACGTTGCTCTCCATCTAAAGGCTGTTACCCTCCTTCAGCTATGTGAGCACGAGATTTTTTTCCCCCCCATCTCCCTTTAGGGGCTCCGTAGTAGGGGCTCCGTAGCTCCTATCTCCTTTAGTGTAATTATCTGCCGTTTGTAAAGCGTTTTGGCACAACTTAAAAATAAATGCCTATTGAAACCATGAATAAAAAGGGGGGTTAAGCCATCTTTAAATGCCTTAATTTATACAGACGACCGGAACCAATAACTCCAGAGCGCGTAGGACCAATTTAAATGCGCATGAGTGCAACGTTTTACTTCCGGTATATACACCACATTTCTTGATGCCACTCTGTTGTCATAGCACGGGCCGGTTCCTCGTGTAAAATATATCAATAGCAGTCATAACATTTTACTAGTTTTCGCTTAAATGTTTAAATGTCAAAAAGACTGTTGTTGGTAAAGCGCGCGAGGTTGTTTCTTGAACATGGAGACTGACGCTGTCGATTTTTTAGGTAGTCCTGTAAAGACGGTGAGGTTCGGAGGCAATGTTGAGGAAATTCTAACCAAATATAAAAAGGTAAGTTACCTTAGTGTGTTTTTGTTTTGTGACTGTCTACTCGATAATGCTAGGTTGTCCCTTATCTAATCGTATCCATTAATATGTTGGGCTAAGGAAGGAAAAAAATAATGAACGGTCTTCGTGAAAATATAACCCTTCTATTACCATGAACTGTTTTTTTTACATCAAACAATGTTTCCCACTAACATGTATTTGTCCATTACAAAGAATCTCCTTGGTAAATGTCTCATGACTTTGATAGCATTGCATTGGCTTTTTTAAAATTATTTTATAAACGTGTCAGTAACTTTAAAGTCAAAACAAATTAATCAAAGCCCCTCTTATAAAATGTGTCGTGTTACAGAAAAAAAGCATATCGCAAAAGCGTATCGAAATTTAATATAGTAAAAAAGTAACACTGGGTAATTTAACGTTAAAATTAACGTTTTCGTTTTTGTGCTCTAGTCCACAACAAAGCACTGCGTCATAGCTTAAATAACTTGTTATGCAATCAACAAGATAATAATCGCGAAAGAGTCATCTGTCTTTTATAAACCTTCACAATTTCACGACACAAATGTTTAGAGATGACATAAAAATGTTACATGTTTTTGCTCAACCGAGATATGTAATAAAAGTTGTTTTATGAGAAAAAAATTTGAGCTTCTCAATGTCTGTCTTTAAAAAGACTTAGAACAGAAATATATCAACAATGTACTGTATGTGTTCGTAAACTTAATAACATAACAAATATTGGCGCACGTAATTTTTCAATACAATTTGGATATAAGTGAAATTTATAGTCCCTGCTGTATAACGTAAAATGAAAGAAAAAGATGCCTGACAAAGCCAAAAGTACATTGGAATCTAATTTATTTCATGATTGAAACAATACAATAAGCATTTTTTAAATGAAAATCTAGGTTTTGTATTTATTATTGTTTTTTTCTTATTCAGTTTTTTGTGAGATATATTTGAACTCCGATCAGCTAATGTTGATTAGATACCACTTCGTACATTGGAATCTAATTTATTTCATGATTGAAACAATACAATAAGCATTTTTTAAATGAAAATCTAGGTTTTGTATTTATTATTGTTTTTTTCTTATTCAGTTTTTTGTGAGATATATTTGAACTCCGATCAACTAATGTTGATTAGATACCACTTCGTCAACCCTGACTATTTTTTTTTTCAAGATCGGTAATCTTTATCTTTTTTTTTATTCTTGTTCCTCTTTTTATTTAAAGGGAGACTTAAGTGACTATGAGCTGATGAAGAATCAGCTTGCAGATCCTGAGATAAAGGTACACCCAAACATCTGCATGTCCTTGTTTACATTATGTTTATCTTTATTATTTGACACAGTTTTTACACAGGATGCCCTTACTCCATTGATGGATTAATGGTTGGATGCAAGCATTTGTATATTAAATATTTACATATCTACATGTGTATTTACAACTTAATGCATGCCATTAAAATGTAAGTGTAAATATAGTGCAGTATAGAGTACATAGGTATCATGATAAAACCATAGGGGTTTAGGGGCATGTCTTAACATGTTTTAAGATATTTCATTTGTACACCATAAACACTGACTTACCCTACTGTACTGTACCATACTCTACGTGTTTACATTTTATTGTCAGTTTACGCATTTATTTCTCCTCTGTTGTGCTCTGTATCTCTGTTTTAGGATGCTCAGATCATAAGCTGGCTGCAAGAATTTCGCAGTTGTGTAACCCAGCTGAACAAGGACCATGAGCAGCTTATTTATACTATTTTGGTGAGTTCGCACTACACACAACACTTCACACAGCCCTACGTGTACTGTGGAGATGATCCAATATCACTTAATTGTTCTAAAAATGTTAATTTACCCCAAATAAATCTCTGTTGGTCTACACAAGGGTCACTGACAAAACAATTAAATTCTCTTCCACTAGATGGCAGCATATAACTATAAAAACAAAAAAAACAAAAAAAGAAGCTCAGAGTTGTTAAAGATTTTTTAGTAAGTAGTAAGTTTCACACTGAGTAAATAAAATTGTGAGTAAAATGAAACTATAGGATCAGGCAAAGAAAATGATAAAAAAAAGAAAAAAGTTATTGTCCTTCTGTCTCTTCAGTCACTCCCAGATGTGTCTTATCTTACCTACATGATCACTCATATAATCTAAACTTACTTTACATGTATTATATGTGGAGCAGTGGTGGCCTGGTGTTTAATGCGATTATATGCAAAAAAAAAAAAAAATATGATAAATAAATTAAATTATAAGGTATATAGAGATTTTTAGTGCTGTGGATATTTGGACTGAATGCCTTTTGTATGCGTGTCTTTTTCTAGAGGCTTCCATGGATCGGTCGAAGCCAGCCAGTGGTGTTGGAGTATATGATGTTTCTCAGTAACCTGGTCTCAGCACAGACTGTGTATTTGTGCGCCTGCCTGAGAATGGTGGTCTCCCATTTCACTCAAAGTAGGTTTCTGTGGCGTTTTGTTACATTTCCTTTACAACAGTTGCTAATGCAATTTCTAGTATATTAATCCGTTTAATTTCTCACTCACGATAAGGCTCGAAGACTGGCTTTTATTTTTTTTATTTTAAAGCAGCTCTTCTCTAACACAGTATACATAACCTATTGTACCAGTTAGGCTTCCAAAGAACTATGGAATTGGATACCTGCAAGTGATTGTGTATAAGTACGGAGTATAAAAGCAGCCGAAGACATTGATTGTTATGTTTGATCATCATTTGAACAATAATTTTATCTTTTCTTTTCCAGAGAGAGTGAGGGTTTGCGGTGAAGTGGAGTTTTCTGATTCAGATGATGAAACTGAAAGTGAGTGCGACTTTCTTTTTCAAATTCAGCGTGCATGTGATAAATAGGTCAAACATGGTTTGAACAATACTAGCTATTCGGACCAGAGGGAACTGTAATAAAAAGGGGTTCAGTGTTCTTCCATATACAGTAGTTACCATTAATTAGGACAGTACTTCGCAAACAGTCGGAAGGGCACGGTGAGGTGCCGGTGGGGCGTGAGGGGTTTCCAATGGAATATGGACATAATTGTACCTACTGCTGTGATGCTTGAACGATAACAAGCCTCCAGTCACTAGGGGGCAGCAACTCATACAGTGGTTTGTACAGATAAAAATATACATGTTATCAGGTTCTCAATAGTACTTCAATTCGTCGGGGTTGTGGTTCGTGGCGTGAAAACATTTCTGAGAATAATTGAGAATCGCTGAATTAGGGAAATGTTATGTACGTTATGAATGTATGAGAGACCCCCCCCCTTCCCCTCCCCCGGAACCTCTCTGCGACTTTTGCTGTTTGACAAAAATGAAGTATGAACTGTGAATATAAAGTTTTCTTCTTGTTGTTCTTCTTCTTCTTATTTTATGAATATTATAAACATGATGTGCATTGTGGTTCTTATCTCAATAAGACTTTCCCAGAAACTTTGATCAGTGTCACCAGGCCTTGCAACTCATCATCCGATATGTCCCGGCGTAAGTCACACATACCCATTTCCATTGTTTCAGCATGTGTGTGTTTCATAGAGAGCAAAGAAATTTACCCCAAATAAATCTCTGTTGGTCTACACAAGGGTCACTGACAAAACAATTAAATTCTCTTCCACTAGATGGCAGCATATAACTATAAAAAAAAAAAAAAGAAGCTCAGAGTTGTTAAAGATCCTTTAGTAAGTAGTAAGTTTGAGTAAAATGAAACTATAGGATCAGGCAAAGAAAATGATAAAAAAGAAAAAAGTCATTGTCCATTGTCCAGTGTTTCATAGAGAGCAAAGAACAAAAAAAAAAAAGAAATGTAACAACAATATCCGTTCTTCATTTGTAGAAGTGAAAGTTGTAGAGGTGTTTAGTTTCAAGTAGTTCTTATTTTCTCCCCTTTCTCCTCCTCTTTTCTTTGTCAAGCACGCGCTGTTTCCTGATGCCCATACTGCAGGAGAAGTTTCCGTTCATACACAAGTCCCCCAGAACACTGGTGAGATACTGTTTCGTACATATACAGTTGGAACACCAGCTTTACCCCATTTTTCATTCTTACATTCATAGGATTCGTTCTGCTGCCTTTGAGACATGACATTTTTTTTTGTCAAACTCTAGTTTCTATATATACTGTACATTTACTTGATTAACTTTGTTTTAAATGGCTAATCCATGGGTGCTGTCCTGTTTAGAGTTACTATACACAGTAATCAAACTGGATCTCATGTCTGTGTTTTTGCAGGAGTGTTACGTCCACAACCTCTTAAGGGTGACGGTGTACATTCCGTCCCTTCAACGGGACATACTGGAGCTGATCGTTGAGAAGATGCTCAAACTGGATGTAAGTGGTAGTTTTCTCAACAGAAGTCTTGCCCATGATTTTTTTTTTTTTTAATCACTCCGGAAGTTTTTTTTTTTACAGTTTTTTTTTCTCAGTAAAACAGTAGCTATTTATACACAGAGCTCTCAGCCAGTCTATTTCACGACTTTAAAACTCACCGTCACCCCTCAGCTCAGGAACATCGGATCACTGCCACTCTTCAAATCCAATCACGATTACACCGTCTAATTTTGTCATATGTATCATTTTTTTATTTAAATTCAATTTGTTATTATTATTATTATAAATATTAGACATGAAAATATTATGTTTTTTTTTTTTAAAATGCTGCTTTTTGTGACAACAGATAGTATTACTGCTATGATAAATGAAGTAGTGGCGCTTTGGCCCAGAGGCAATGTCTCCGTTATTGGTGTGGAACCCCAGGGTTCACCTCCTGGGCAAGTTCGAATCCCGGTTAGGGCGGTTGGTACCTTCCAGTGGACTCACCACCTGTAGGAAGGTTTAGAGGGTTTGGTACGGTGCAATGTGATATGTGGCGGTCATGGAGACTGCTGCCCCCAAAAACAGATAAGCAGATGAAAATAGATGGATGGATGGACAAATAAAGTGGCCCGTACTTTCCTAGTTTTGAATTACCGCTGTTTTGTTTTTTTTTTAATCAACAAAGTGCAAAAAGTTTGAATTTGATATGGCTTCGTTTATGAAGATAATAAGCTACATCTGCCTTGAAGCAAAACAGCACAGGCCTTATTCAAAGTCCTGTTGTAGTACCCGTCAGCAAAACGTCAGATTAAAGCACACTGAAATATGGGGGATAAGCCGAGGGAAAACGTGCAACAGTTTTGTTCCTCACGATGCTGTCCGTTTGTTAGACCTGGCGTTTCGGATAGACATTTAAGGGGAATGTCACTAAGGGTCAACACTGTGAGTTTCTGTGTTGCTAAAGAGTTCAAGAAGTCTGGACAACAGAGGTGGGACCAAGTCATTGCTTTTGCAAGTCACAAGCAAGTCTCAAGTCTTTGCACTCAAGTCCGAATCAAGTCTCAAGTCAAAAT